ATAGTCTCATAGTCTTATAGTCTCATAGTCTCATAGTCTTATAGTCTCATAGTTTCATAGTCTCATAGTCTCATAGTCTCATAGTCTCATAGTCTCATAGTCACATAGTCTCATAGTCTTATAATCTCATAGTCTCATAGTCTCATAGTCTCATAGTCTCATAGTCTCATAGTCTCATAGTCTCATAGTCTTATAGTCTCATAGTCTCATAGTCTCATAGTATCATAGTCTCATAGTCTCATAGTCTCATAGTGTCATAGTGTCATAGTCTCATAGTCTCATAGTCTTATAGTCTCATTGTCTTATAGTCTCATAGTCTTATAGTCTCATAGTCTCATAGTCTCATAGTCTCATAGTGTCATAGTCTCATAGTCTCATAGTCTCATAGTCTTAAAATCTCATAGTCTCATAGTCTCATAGTCTTATAGTCTCATAGTCTCATAGACTTATTGAAAAAAAAAATGATTCGTATTGTATTTATTGGCATACTTAATCTGAATTTATTGCTCTTTATCTTATTGTATTTTTTGGCAAAGTTAGTCAAATTTTCAATATTAGCTAAGTTAGTCCCATGATCTTTATTTACAGTCTTAGTGACACTGTCTTTATTTACAGTCTTAGTGACATTGTCTTTATTTACAGTCTTAGTGACACTGTCTTTATTTACAGTCTTAGAGACATTGTCTTTATTTACAGTCTTAGTGACATTGTCTTTATTTACAGTCTTAGTGACATTGTCTTTATTTACAGTCTTAGTGACATTGTCTTTATTTACAGTCTTAGTGACACTGTCTTTATTTACAGTCTTAGTGACACTGTCTTTATTTACAGTCTTAGTGACATTGTCTTTATTTACAGTCTTAGTGACACTGTCTTTATTTACAGTCTTAGTGACATTGTCTTTATTTACAGTCTTAGTGCCACTGTGACATTGTCTTTATTTACAGTCTTAGTGACACTGTCTTTATTTACAGTCTTAGTGACACTGTCTTTATTTACAGTCTTAGTGACATTGTCTTTATTTACAGTCTTAGTGACATTGTCTTTATTTACAGTCTTAGTGACACTGTCTTTATTTACAGTCTTAGTGACACTGTCTTTATTTACAGTCTTAGTGACATTGTCTTCATTTACAGTCTTAGTGACACTGTCTTCATTTACAGTCTTAGTGACATTGTCTTTATTTACAGTCTTAGTGACACTGTCTTTATTTACAGTCTTAGTGACACTGTCTTTATTTACAGTCTTAGTGACACTGTCTTCATTTTATTAAGTCGGGCTGATATTCTGAAATATTGGCTGCGTTTGCGCCAAAATTATGGAACAGTTTGCTTCAATCTTTGAGGGGAATTGTAAAGGATAAAAAATCATTTAAGAAACAATTAAAAACTTTTTTGTTTCAATAGATTTCTGAGGACCAGAGCGCAGTGAGCATGGTAAAGTGACATGGATAAAAGGGCGATATAAATATCATATCAATAAATCAATCAATTGACAAAGTTAGTCACATTGTCCTTATTGCTTAAGTGAGTCACATTGTCTTTATTTTTTAAGTTAGTCACATTGTCTTTATTGGTTAAGTAAGTCACATTGTCTTTATTGGTTAAGTAAGTCACATTGTCTTTATTGGTTAAGTAAGTCACATTGTCTTTATTGGTTAAGTAAGTCACATTGTCTTTATTGGTTAAGTTAGTCACATTGTCTTTATTGGTTAAGTAAGTCACATTATCTTTATTGGTTAAGTAAGTCACATTGTCTTTATTGGTTAAGTAAGTCACATTGTCTGTATTGCTTAAGTAAGTCACATTGTCTTTATTGGTTAAGTAAGACACATTGTCTTTATTGGTTAAGTTAGTCACATTGTCTTTATTGGTTAAGTAAGTCACATTGTCTTTATTTGTTAAGTAAGTCACATTGTCTTTATTGGTTAAGTTAGTCACATTGTCTTTATTGGTTAAGTAAGTCACATTGTCTTTATTGGTTAAGTAAGTCACATTGTCTTTATTGGTTAAGTAAGTCACATTGTCTTTATTGGTTAAGTTAGTCACATTGTCTTTATTGGTTAAGTAAGTCACATTGTCTTTATTGGTTAAGTAAGTCACTTTTTCTTTATTGGTTAAGTAAGTCACATTGTCTTTATTGGTTAAGTTAGTCACATTGTCTTTATTGGTTAAGTAAGTCACATTGTCTTTATTGGTTAAGTAAGTCACATTGTCTTTATTGGTTAAGTAAGTCACATTGTCTGTATTGCTTAAGTAAGTCACATTGTCTTTATTGGTTAAGTAAGTCACATTGTCTTTATTGGTTAAGTAAGTCACATGGTCTTTATTGGTTAAGTTAGTCACATTGTCTTTATTGGTTAAGTAAGTCACATTGTCTTTATTGGTTAAGTAAGTCACATTGTCTGTATTGCTTAAGTAAGGTACATTGTCTTTATTGGTTAAGTAAGTCACATTGTCTTTATTGGTTAAGTTAGTCACATTGTCTTTATTGGTTAAGTAAGTCACATTGTCTTTTTTGGTTAAGTAAGTCACATTGTCTTTATTGGTTAAGTTAGTCACATTGTCTTTATTGGTTAAGTAAGTCACATTGTCTTTATTGGTTAAGTAAGTCAAATTGTCTTTATTGGTTAAGTAAGTCACATTGTCTTTATTGGTTAAGTAAGTCAATTGTCTTTATTGGTTACGTAAGTCACATTGTCTTTATTGGTTAAGTAAGTCACATTGTCTTTATTGGTTAAGTAAGTCACATTGTCTTTATTGGTTAAGTAAGTCACATTGTCTTTATTGCTTAAGTAAGTCACATTGTCTTTATTGGTTAAGTTAGTCACATTGTCTTTATTGGTTAAGTAAGTCACATTGTCTTTATTGCTTAAGTAAGTCAAATTGTCTTTATTGGTTAAGTAAGTCACATTGTCTTTATTGGTTAAGTAAGTCAATTGTCTTTATTGGTTAAGTAAGTCACATTGTCTTTATTGGTTAAGTAAGTCACATTGTCTTTATTGGTTAAGTAAGTCACATTGTCTTTATTGGTTAAGTAAGTCACATTGTCTTTATTGGTTAAGTAAGTCACATGTTCTTTATTGGTTAAGTTAGTCACATTGTCTTTATTGGTTAAGTAAGTCACATTGTCTTTATTGGTTAAGTAAGTCACATTGTCTGTATTGCTTAAGTAAGGCACATTGTCTTTATTGGTTAAGTAAGTCACATTGTCTTTATTGGTTAAGTTAGTCACATTGTCTTTATTGGTTAAGTAAGTCACATTGTCTTTATTGGTTAAGTAAGTCAATTGTCTTTATTGGCTAATATCACGCTTTGCAAATTAATTGATGATTTTCTTTCTTGTTAACGTTATGTAAGTTATTTGTAGACAAAGTTAAAATCAAACACCTCATTCATTGCTAAAATATTACAATAAAAGCACCAAGCTTAACAATCCAAATCATGAAACCTTTTTAATGGATATGCATAACATGTTTTATGTTCATAAAACATCATTGGAAACTTCTGTACGATGTTGATTAAAATGAATTGAATGAAATGTATCACGTGATTGCATGACGTACAAACAACCCCTAAAACAACCCAAAATTTTTCGTATTTTCCTTTATAAAATGTAATATCAAGCAATGGAGAGTGGGGCTGAAAATGTGACTAAAATGTACTCTAGTAGCGAACATTAGAACATGGGCTGATTTTTGGGGTTAAGGGTGTGGCTGAAAATTTGACTAAAATGTATTCTAGTAACGAACATTAGAACATGGGCTGATTTTGGGGGTTAGGGTGGGGCTCAAAATTTGAGAGAATTTATTGTCATTGGCAACGAGTCTATGTGCCGAGCTTAAGCTTGATAGCTCCGAAGAAAGTGTTTCAATTAGCCGTCCAAAGATTTGGCCTGCCACCCAGCCAGCCACCCACGAACAAAAGCGAAATTAATATAAAGGATTTTAACAGATATGAATAAACTGATTTTTTAAAAATCAACCTCAATGCCTCGTTGGTTTGGTTAATATTTCCAAATTTAAAAAAAAAAAAAAAAAAAAAAAAAAAAAAAAAAAAAATAAAAAAAAAAAAAAAAAAAAAAAAAAAAAAAAAAAAAAATCAACCTCAATGCCTCGTTGGTTTGGTTAATATTTCCAAATTTAAAAAAAAAAAAAAAAACAAAGCTAAAGATAAATTATGTTAGATTGATCCAGGTTAAAATTGATATAAAAAAATGGTTTTGTACAGAGGTCAAAAGCTTAACACTGAAGGTAAGTTGTATTATTTTTGCTTTAACAGTGAAGATCATAATGTAAAAGTTGAAAAATACACCTCACAATTTGTCAACATGAAAGGGACATAAAAATTGGTTGAAAACAACGATTTAAATATTTAACAATGAAAACAATTATATAATTAAAAAATCGAAAAAAAATTCTTCATAAAATGATAAGATCACACATATTTAGTAACATGTCATGGAAATATTGTCGAGGATTTCTAAATTTCATTTACTTTTTTTTGTCTTTAAATGCAATTCAATCAATAATTAAACTCAAAGCAATATTTTAATTTGACGAAGACATCGCCCCAGACTTCGGATTGTTTAAATATCTTCGGTCACCCTTTCCAATTCGAAATAAACATTTTCTTTTTCATTGTAGCTGTTATCACTAAGTCTTTTGTCTGGCGTTACCTCTTCACCTTTCGCTTGCTCTGCTAATTTAGCTTTTTCTTCTTGGATTTGCGTCACTTTCACACTCGTAACCTTGCCTTCCCCGTTTTCTGAACCAATATTAATTAGCGTGTAGTTTCGTTTCGCGGGATTAACTTTTGAAGAACCCGCTGGTAAAATATGTTTGAGATCACCGTCATCTGATTTCTCCGGTGAATCGATCCCGTTTTTAAAATGTTGTTGTTTCTTTAAATCGAGGATCGTGCTGTAAGGGTTTTGGTGCCCTCTCGCCATCTCGGCGTGCAGCGTTGAGTATACACCGTGTGTCGCCCCCGGATGCATCTCCGAGAATGTGTTGCCGGCAAATAAGACTGGCTTGTGCTGGTTTGCCGGAGAGCCGAGGTGGTCAGACTGCGCGTGCCGGGGCCAAATAACGGAGTAGTTATTTAATTTCTTGTTAGGGTTGGCGTGGTTGATATTGAATCTGTCTTTCGATCTGTTAAGCCTCGGCGTAACTTCTTCTTCGTCGTCTTTTAAGTCGACCGTCGTGTACAATCCACCCACTGAAGACCTCTCGCCGGTTTCCGGCTCCTTGACCAAAGGACTCTCTAGTTTGCCAATGCTTGACGGTATCACTAACACACTACCGGTTTTGCCTATGCTTTCGGAGTCAACCGTTGTGTAGCCGTCATCCTCGGCCTCTGACGATCCAAATTTGAAGTTCGGCAATGTTTTGTCGGACACATCATCCCACATCACTGTCGAGTAGACAGATTCGGCGTCTTTTGCATTTAACGTTTCGCCATCTCTTGCAATAAATTGTGGGTAAGTTTTTTGCAAACCTGACATGTGACCTGCATCCATTACAGAAATGGTTGAATATCCACTCCCATCATCTGACGGCTGATTTTCCACGACTCTCCGTCCTGGTTTCTTCATAAGGTTATTTTTCTTGTTGATGCTATTTTCTAAGCCAGCAATCAGTACATCCACATTTAACCTATTTGAATTTTGCTTTGAAGCACTGTGTCCGTCAATTGGTTTCAGCTGTGAAATGATCAAAGAAGGTGATTGTATAGCGTTTGTCGAACTGTTTAGCGGATAGGAATGCAAATTAACACTATCGGTTTCAATGTCACCGTTGACGATGTGTGCTTGCATGCCTGGCTGTACACCATCACCAATACCGTTAGCTTGCGAAGCACTTTCGCGAGCACCTTCACACTTATCCGCCACTGGTAACAAATGGTCACTCCTGCCCAGGTATACGTGCAGGGCATTCTTACCCGTGCCCGACTGATTTTCATTTGTTACCGCTAGAGTTGGATCTTTAACTGGTGAAATGTTTGGGGGCCTCAGCGCAATCTTATTGCTGTCATCAGGCTTTGACTGAGGTCCCGGATCACTAAATTTTCTTGGCGCAGGATTAATCTTGTTAGACACCTCTGCGGGCTGTGACCATTTCCTGGGCTTCGAATCCCCGTTCTGCGGCTTGGACGGACTCGCAGAAGGTTTAACGCCATGGGCTGGACTCATTTTAATCATTTCATAATTGTCTTTAAGTCCCTTAAATCTTTGTGACCTTTTCTTGATCTGATCCCTTTTTCTCTTCTTGACGAGTATGTAACATATCATAATGATGCACGCAAGGAGAGCTACGCCCACAACAGTCCCGGCAATAACCGGAACCTGATCAAAACGAATTGATGAAGCATACGTGGTAGTGTTTGGATTATTTGGTGGCACGGTTGTTGTTGTAAAAGTTTCTTGTGTTTCGTTTCCAATCCTCTGCGTAGAATGAAATGAACTCGTGTAACCCGTTTCTCTTACCGTAGATCTATTAGTGTTTAAGTCACCCGACGTCAAAGCTGTTACACGCTCTGAAGCCGAATTGTGTTTGATGGTAGCGGTTATACTTGCTTCTGACCAGATGGGTGTTGATGGTGTAGGCTCTGCTTCAGTCTTGTTCCATGGAAACACTGGAGATGGGGAGCCATTTGGGCGCGGGACGTCTATAGTTACTGTAGCCGTAGAAGGCGTTGAAGTTGATGTCAAACTACTTGATGGTGTTTCAGTTGAACCTGGTGTTGTATACGCAGAAGATGTTGGTGATATAGATGATATGAAACTTGTTAATGGTGTCTCTATTGAATTTGGTGTTGCATACAATGGAGGTGTAGGTAAAAAAGTTGACGCTGAGCTACTAAATGATGTCAATGTATCTACATTACTATCATCAAGCGTCGTAAGTGCTGTGTGTGTGGTAGGTACAGAAATTGATTCCAAACTACGCAATGTTGTTAATTCATCAGTTGAATGTGGTGACGTAAATGAGTTGGGTGCAGTTACCATCGGTCCTTGTTTGACAACTGATGTAAAATCAATGCTTATAGTCTGTTCTATTTCCATACTTGAAATTAATCTTTCATCATGTGTGACCATAGGAGCAGGGTCCAAGCCCACGGTGCTATAATCAGCCAGCCTCGACTGGACATCTGACGATTCTACATCCATCTCAGGCAACATTACATCAGACCGCGAGTCGATCACGGAAGTGGGCGTCTCGCTAAATGTTAGGGTTGCCCTGTTATCATCGTTATTCCAGGTTGTTGTCTCGTGACTTGATTGTGACGGCGATATTGCAGAGACGTCGCTAACCGAAGCGCTGCTGTCATAATAAGTTGTCCATGTGACGTAACCTAAAGTTGCTGAAGTCATTGATGGTGACCAAGCAATGGGCATCTCATCATTCGGAGCAGTGGTCATGTTGCTTAATAAAAGAAAAGTGTTTGTTTCGGTTATTAGAATGTCTGTGGAAATCGGAATGGAAAAAGCATCATCCGATGTTTGATCTACTTGTGATGATGTGTTGAATCCATTCGAAAAGCATGGCTGTATTTTCATACATAATGTGTGGGTGATACTGTATTTAAAATTGTGTGATACATTATAAAATATAATTCCAAAGGTATATACTGTGCTGTTATTTATTCGATATGTGATGAGATTGCAGGTCGATGGATCTAATAATTCTTTTGGCGAGGCGTCACTGATGTACCTGGTGCAAAAAATATTCTGTGTTGCAAAAGGTGTCGGAGCTGGACATTTGAAGTATAACGAGCCGTTTATATGTTGACTTTCGTCATGCCTCACAGTTGTATTTGAAACGATTAATTCGTTCTTGTTCGTTGAATTCTGTGCAAAGGTTACAATACACTCGTAGGTTGTGACGTGGAGGCAAATGAAGAACCTGAAATTACGGCATGCTTTCCATCAAACTTTTAAGCAGCTAACATATTGAAAGAATATTCCACTTATTTTAAAATGTATTCACCTTGTAAAGATTGGAATACTGATATATGATTTGTTGATATAGACCATTGGGGGGGGGGGGGGGGGATTGAATAGTTCCACTACCCTTAAACCTAGAACACTTTCAGCTGTTGTAAAGAGAGTTATGGAGAAAAAAAAACGGAAAATATTATTTTATATTATTATAATTATAAATATTATTGTTAAAGTGTTGTTCTATAGCGTCGTACCCAAGCCTATGGTTAGGCTCGCCATTAAGTCATCAGGCTTCACATAACCATTAGCCAAGAAAAAAAAAATTCTGAAGATGCCATCAATTTTAATACAACGTTAATTTTTAAATTCATTAATTATACATCAGCACATTTTTAGCTGTTGAAACATAGATGCGAATAGCTTTGTCGAATTAAATGATTAATCAATGGTTTCAATTTTGAAATAAATGTATTTTAAATTTAAAAGACATTTCACACTTCAACTTGTGATGTCAGCTTTTATTTGATGTAGAGGTTCTGCTCATTTCATAACTAAATGTTACGCCTATGAATTTCACTCTTGCTGTTATAATTTATACGTTACACTTATGAATCTAACTCTTACTATTATATTTTATCTGGTACAGCTATGAATTTCGCCCTTACTATGATAATTTGTCTGGCACACCCATGAATGTAGCAACTTACTTTGAAAATGTATCTGGGTCAAAGGTTATGTTGTAGCCATTCACTTCAAATTGAATCGTGCCGACACAGCCCACCGACCGGAGCAGGGTGATGAATAATATGGTGTTTATGGCAAGGAAGCTCATGTTCCCAGGTTGTTGATGGTGTTTGCTAAGCATTAGTAGCACTAACAATTTTGTGTTTCTCTAAATCACGAGTCCGCAACTGTGGAGCAAACTTTGAGATAAAGCTGAAACAATATAATAGAGACTTTAGCCTTTTTTTTTTTTATAGTTCATAGAAGTCAATGTAGGATGTAGGGGTAGGGAAATAAATACTTGTATTGCCCTCTCCATACTTGACATGAAGGGTTAAAAATCAAAATCAAATATTTCATAAGAGTTTCTTTGATTAAAGTTGAATCTTAAAGAACATAAAAAAACAAACTTGAAGTATTTATGAAAAGGAAAGATCATTTATCAATTCCTTTTAATTAAATATAAATATTAAAATAATTATTTACAATAAAATGATATGCCTTTATAATGGTTTGGAAATTTAGTCATTTTAGCTAAATTGGAACTAAATGATTTGAAGATTTAGCCACTGCCATTCACTACACATAACGAATTTTAAGATTTAGTCATTACATATAGACTAGAGATAAAGAATTTGAAATTTTATGTTTTTGGCCATACGCTGCAGGGAAATAATTTGAAGATTGGCTTTCTAGACTTAACAAGAATAATGTTGTATCGGTGTCCTCATCTGACCCAAGATTAATCCCAAGTGTCTTCGACTGGATCACTATTTCATAATAAGTCAATTGACAGGTTTGCTTATCCTAATAAAAATATATAATTTCCCCTGAAGTGTTAACTAAAATGTTACACCCAGTTTCACCGTAAAGCCGCTGCAGCAGTTTAAATCTAATAGGTCTAACTAAAACATTGAAATTAAATTTAATCTAAGTTATATTCTTTGGTCATTTTTATAAAGAGACAAACAATGATTTAAGAGATGAATAAAATAAAAGTCTAGCCTCGTTATAACGTCAGTAAAATATTTTACTTCATTGACCGATCTTCTTTGAATTGGAGTAAAACTTAAGAATAGGCACCAACACTATTAACAATATTTCTTAGCTAGTAAAGTTTCGTGTATCAATAGAAAGCAGTGATCCAAGTTTCAAACGGAAAATAAAAACGAGAGAAACACACAAACCTTGAGTTTTCAAAGTTCATTGTATAAGTACAACAACGCACATATCTGTAATGTTTAAACTAAGGCATTAACATCCTGTCCTCACTGATCATTCGTTCATATCGAAATGACTGAACACAAACAGTGTCTTCACTTGGCCATTTTTTTTTAATGTTATGGTTTAAACCGGGACGTTCAATGTTGGGAGACAGGAAGGAATATGGTTAATCCAAATCAAGGCCTTCAATTGATATGGGGATTTTCTTTCCAATGCTTATTCAATAATAAAATACGAATAAAACTACGCCCCTTAGACAGTGTCCCAATCTGTTAAAAGAGTCGGCACCGGCTTTTGGTTTAGGCAATACAGGCGGCTGCCTAGAGAGACATTTTTTTCAAGTAGTTGGAAATTCCAGATAAAATAAACATATTTTTTAATGTCTTTCAAAACAGTCTATATAACGTTACTCTCTCATCATAATCTTATTAGCTTAGAAGATTAAATGTTTCAAAGTTGTTACCCGTTATGAGCAAGCAGTGGCGTAGCTAAGTTTAGTGCCACCAGGGGCGAGCAAAGTCTTTTTGTCGTCCCTCCCCACGACAGTCTTTCCACAATACCTTTAAAAAAAAAAACATAATAAAAACAAATCTCCCACCGTACCTCCTGTCTAGGCCACTGTCAGCAAGGCTAAAGCAGGAAAGAGTGCACGCTTAACTGGAGCGGAGTATGGGAAGCGTCACATAAGGTGGAAATCCTGCTTCAAGAATGTTCAGATTCATGCAATTTTCTAGATCAGCGGCTCTCAGCCTATGGTAGAAGACCTTGGTATTGAATACAATAAACACAATGAATGAAATACAGCTAAGATCTTGAAGGAAAAAATACAGTTTAACTCTAAAGTTTAAGAAGATCCTATTCTTTAAGACGAAATTGTTTTTAGATTTTATTAACAGAGTTTGGCTGTCATAATTTATCCATTACACCAGGGGTCGGGAACATATGGCTCGCGACCAAGATGTGGCTCTATTGATGGCTGCATCTGGCTCGCAGACAAATGTTCGATTATAAAAAATAAGACGCATTAATGCTAAGAAATACTCATTGTTGATTAGCAACACCATAACAATGTTATTAAAAAGAATTCAGAGACATAGTTATTGCAATTTTAGTGTTGACATAATTACACAAAATGCACACATTTACTTGAATTTTTAGTTTTAAACATAATAAATGTCTATCACAGAATTACTTTTCAAAATATATGGTGTCCATGGCTCTCTCAGACAAAAAGGTTCCCGACCCCTGCAATACACGATCGATTTTTTAACGGTTATCACCTCATAATAAGTTATTCAGATTTTTGAATGATATTAAAGAAATAAACCTTATAATGAGCAGCGAGTTTTAAAACAAAGAATGGCCCTTCAATTAACTTCAAGATTTTGAAAAAAAAAAAAAAAAACAGTTAAGGGACATTAATGTAACATGACTTTGTGATGAGCCATTTGTTTGTTCAAGATGTTACTTTCTGTTTTGAATGGGCTTTGATGCTTCCTTTCCAAATCTGTATGTGGCACACTATTCGTGGTAAATATCCAAAAAGAGGCAATAGTAATGGAGAAAATAAAGTTCATTAAAAAAAAGTGTTGTGCGTTTGGAAAGGAAATAAGTTCAACAAAGTATGGGGGGGGGNCGGTGGAGGCCTTCGTCAGAAACAAACAACGGTAAAAAAAAAAAAAAAAAGATTTAAATAAAAATAGTATTTAGCTGAAAAGTGGTTTCTGTGAGGGCAGCAAAAGAATTGTGTAGCATCCTATCAAAGAGAGGCAGTAATGAGATTTTAAAATATATCCATGAAGGCTCTTCGGTCACTCCATCGGAGACACAAACACTTAACAAACTGGTGTCTACATAATTCTTTCATGACATTTCTATAGTGAATTCAACTCAAGTTTCCCGATGACACCTATCAATAGAGTTCCCATGAAAGTTGTGATCTTCTTTAGAAGAGAGCTTTAAAAAGAACATTAGCAGTAACATTGAGTAGATTAATACGGGTTGATAATTTCGTTTATCGACGACTTCACCAACTCAGATTTTAGAGGGACAGAAGACGCTGTATACTTCTTGTGACCTCTCCTGAAACCACGATCAGCGCAGAAGCAAACGCCCATGGGAGTGAAACTATTACGCAAAAAAAGTTCATAAAGTCAAATAGTTTTGAAGTAAATCAATGATTAACCAGCATGGACAGACAAACAACTAACGGATCAGCTGGTTTGTGTGGAGGGAAACTTGAACTGAACTACTTTGAACTTTGTGTTATAGCTATAATGTAGACTCATTACATATCTTCAAACTGTGCATACGGGGACATTGTTCATAAAAAAAACCTCATTGTAAGAGGATAATTTGCTTTTCAAGAGGTTCAAGAGCTGTGAAGAATTCAAGAAGTAATACATCATAGATAAATACTTGATTGTGTTTTATATATTACCAATTTGTATCCATGTTCAAAATCATATTTTTCTTCTTTTTCAATGTTATTAATATCAGAGGATAGGTAAACATTTCTTTTAGAACACTTTTTTGTGTGTAAACTTGAGGAAAGACTGTGGTCTTGGCACAGAAGATATTTGTAAATGTATCCTTCTTTACAACAAACACATATTTTTGGGTTATTAGATTGTAATAGTCAATTTCGTAAATTGTCTAACCAATATCTGATACTTGGTTTGTTTTTAAATACTAACGTGCTGTCTTGTCGTGTATTACTTGTCTTGATTTCTCTCATTATTTATCCTATCACTTTTTCACAAATATTGACTTTTTTAGTCCTGTGGGTGTGCTCTATGTTGACTGGTTCTTAGATAAATATTAATTCATGTGCTCATATACACCATCTATAACTGGGTTGTTTATTTACTATGCTTTCCATATTGAATTGTTTCTTTGAATTGATTATAATTTAGAAACATAATACAGTTTACATACATGAAAACATGCTTTAAATTTATGTATATTTATAAATATACATTAAAAATGGTAGAAGAAAAGAAGGAAGAGAGAGAGATGAGATAGCTGCTGGATGAACAAACCAATTAGAAATGAAGAGATAGAAGCAGCCAATGATGCTAATAATACAACACTTATAGAAGCATGAAGAGATAGAAGCAGCCAATGATGCTAATAATACAACACTTATAGAAGCATGAAGAGATAGAAGCAGCCAATGATGCTAATAATACAACACTTATAGAAGCAAATGAAACTAGACGAAACTGCAAAAAATTCATCACATTAATCTACAACCCTTTGATAACAAAAAGAGGTCTTTGAATTATTCATTAGGATATTTGAAGGACAGTGCAGCTTGCAAAGCAATTTACAGAAGCGAACGGAAATTTGAACTATTTTCATCTGTGACAGGATATGTCATTCGGATGTCTCTAGAACATAGAAATGATTGACTATTAAACTATGAAAGAGCAACTGATAAGGCACTTCAGTAAAACTGAAGTCATTTTTAGAAAAAAAATATTTCCCCATACAGTTTTGAAGTCAATCAATGATTCACCCGCATGGACGGACACTTTATTTTCAAACCTTAACTTAATTTAAATTGGCATGGATAACTCTAAGGTTACAGTGGTTGTATTTGTAATTAATTGTAAATGAAGGATTGTATTCCTTTCAGACTAAGCAAAGAAAAGTAAAGGACATGAAAGTGCTCCCATTTCAGATTATAAAGAGATCCATCCAAGTGCAAAATTATCAAAGAAAAAGATGATGGTGAGAATATGCTCTATGCCATGGGAAGCAATACGAGATTATTGTCTACAAGATCGTACCAGGTGAAACGATACCAAAAGAAATAACCCAATCAAAACATTCAATTTCCGGAGTTGCGGCAAGGAAGGACACTTAAGTAGAAGTTGCATA